GTAGACCAGGTGTACTGAGGTAAGAACATTGTATAACTGTACTTGGTGTGTGTATAGTATATGATGTACCCCCAGTAATGGTGATATGTAGACCAGGTGTACTGAGGTAAGAACATTGTATAACTGTACTTGGTGTGTGTATAGTGTATGATGTAATGGTGATATGTAGACCAGGTCTACTGAGGTAAGAACATTGTATAACTGTACTTGGTGTGTGTATAGTATATGATGTAATGGTGATATGTAGACCAGGTGTACTGAGGTAAGAACATTGTATTTGTCTATAACTATGTGCTGTTTTTTTTCAGGATACTAAACAGTAAATCGATTGATTCCACTTGTCTTCCTTTGGTAAAAAGAATTATTGTCATACTGATCATGGTAAGTATATGTATATCATAAAGCCAGCCACATTTTAATGCATGTGTCAGTTATACTGACTAGTGTACAGCAATAGACTATTTCCCCTTCATGGTGGGATCCTGCATTATGCATAAAATCAAAAAGTAAAAACAAAACAAACAAAGTTCATAGTGTCGCAGTGATGTCAAACCTTCGTGTGAGCTTTGAGAAATGTGAAACTATTTTATGGGCATTTGCATGCTCAATTATTTGCTATAGACACTTGATGATGTTCAATTTTGCTGAAGTAAGTGTATGTCAACACCATATTTCCTGGGAGTTCAGCATTTTGATGCATAAATAATGAAGTTCAAATTCAAAATCAACTTATTTGATTTTTGCAGCAGATGTTCGGTCTGCATCATTCATGCATAATGCAAGATTTGCAGTGAAAGGAAAATGATCTACTGCAGTAATAGACCATTTTCCGTACACTGCGAGAATCATGCGTTATGCGTGAAATCGAACGTAAAAACAGGACAAACAAAGGTCATAGCGTTGTAGTGGCGTCAAACATCGCGTGGGATTCGACAAACGCGAAAGTATTTTAGGGACATTTCCATGCTTAATAATGTGCTGTCCACATTTGATGATAGGCAATTTCGATTAAGTAAGGGTATTCGGAAGCAATATTCCTCTGTCGAAGATCGGCCGGTTGGTGTGAGCTACGAAATAAGGAAATTCGAGTTCAAAATCAAATCGTTCGATTTTTGCGGCGGACGTTCGACGCACGTCTTTCATGCATCTCGCGAGATCTCGCAATTGTACGGAAAATCACCTATTTCACCACTGTGTAGATAATCTTGACTTGAATTTGCATAATTTATTCATCTTCAATCTTCGCAGGTACTGATCCTAATGGTATTTCGTATCTGGATGTTAAATGGCCAGTTACCTGCATTCTCAGATCAAGATAACCCAGCATCCTTTGCACCTCACCTTAGTACAAGGTAACATTACCCATCATTCAGTAGTAGAGTAGTCATCATTTTCTTGTCTGCCTGATGAATGTCTGTAAATTCCACCTTGCTATAATAAGTATTCATGTACATAACATTGTAAAGTAATTACAAAAATAATTTAACTTTTATTTACCAGGTTCCTCACCTACTCATATCTGATAGTTTTCAACGGTTTGCTGTTGTTATCTCCAATTACCCTTTGCTATGATTGGCAGATGGGTAGCATACCATTGGTGGAGTCCATCACTGATCCGCGTAACCTAGCAACATTCTGCTTCTTCATCGTCATGGCAATACTGGCTATTCATTGTTTACAGTGCTTTGTGAAGGAAAAGGTACAAGTTTTATTTGCAGTAAAATCACCTCACCTTTCACTTCTCAGACCCTCCTCACAATATGCCTTATGACCAGTTTAAGGGCACTTCACAGTGGACAATACTTACACATCCTGGTATTTTTTTTTTTCAATGGAGACAGTTATTCATCATATCATGCCCACATTTAAACATAATTACGTGTAACTTTTAGGATTGTGCAAAATAATTGAAACAGTTATGTCACATGCTAATAAATAAACTCTGCTCCGACCGATAAATATGATATATAGTTCTATTGTGGAATCATTTAGTGATTATATTTTATAGTTGTTGTGCATGTTCTTATGTCCTACCTATACGTTTAAAAATTTACCGCTATGATATCAATAAAGAGCCATTGCTCGAAACGTCTAGCTATTTTTAATAGTTACTTAGGACAACTATTACTAAATATTATATACTATATGTCACATGGTCATGTATGTAAATAAATGTGCATTTCTGAGGATTCACAAATGTATCTCACAGTGCCATTTTGCGATGGTCGTAACCACAACAATTAGGCACCCAATATAAGAAACTAGTACTCTATAAACAAAAGCATATAACTAATTTCATTTCTTTTATTGTTAACTTTTTTATTTACAGCTTAATCATCTGAGGATCATTCTAATTGGTTTATCATTCCTCGTCATTCCATTCATTCCAGCATCTAATTTATTCATCAGAGTTGGTTTTGTTGTTGCTGAGAGAATCCTGTACATTCCCAGGTGAGTCACGGTAAACAATATCTTGCTTTGTGCAACTGTCTGTCCATTTATCTCTATGTCTGTATGTTTGTCAGTATTTATGTACGTATTTATCTCTTTATACTATATTTATTAGCAGGATAGTAGCAGGAGTAACAAAATGAAATAAAAAATAATTTGGTATTGGTGACTTTTTGGTTTAGAGCCTTGTAGAATGTTTATATGTGATATCTGATTTCCTGTTCTTTGTGAAAGGTGCCAACCAAATGTTTGCTGTGAAAATTAAATGATTAAATTTTTAACTTTTATATTGAAATGCTTGTTGTATCACATCACTAGGCCGAAAATGCCCAATAAATAATTTAGTGTTTGTTGAATCTAACATGAAGATTTTACATAACAAGATGCTATGTCTTTTGTTTTGTTTTTATAGTCGATTTTACAGATAACGTGAGATCTTGCAATGAACAGAAAGTGCTCAGTTAATTACCTGTACTCATCATACTGTAGAATACTTTATTTTCGCTGAGAGGCTTTTTGGGCATTGTGTATGGAATTTATTTTCACTGATTTTTGATGAGTTTAATGTGAAATATAGGAAAAAAAAGTATATTCTACAGTATTGAAAACGAAGGCATATATTAAACTTTACACGTACAATATACAGTGCCAATATTTTATTCATTTCCTTATTCATAACATGAGCCTGCAATATTTTTATATTGTGCTCATTCTTCTGTTTACAGCTTATTGCATTTTTCATACTTTTTTTCTTTCAGTCTTGGATTTTGTGTTTTAGTGGCGCATGGCCTTAATAGTGTCTGTAAGTCAAGCAATAAGAACATGTCCTCTGCAGTGACTGCACTAGTCATTGCAGTCGCTTTGTTCTTTACATGGAGGACTATAATAAGAAATCCAGTTTGGCATAGCAGGGAGGCATTATTTAAGTAAGTCTAAGTTAACTCTTTGATCACCAATGGCAAGGTTTGTCAACATTCACAAATAAACCCAGATTTTTGGTCGAAATTTGAAAAAAAAAAATGATAACAAATTAAATAAAGATATGCAAAATGTGTTGTAACAAAATTTAAGCTGGAAAAATTATGAATGAATGAATGAAAGTGTGGAATTGACAATTGATTGTGAATATTAAAAGATACATGATGTGTTTAGACCAAAAAAAACCACATTTTTGTGCATATTTCAAACTACAGTGTCCATAAAAAAGAATACTTTAAAACATTTTAAAATTTATACAATAAGCTTCTGAAAATATATAGTTTTGTGGACAAGGGAGGTCATCTTGGTTTCCTAATTAACTAATTAAAATACGTGTCAGGTTAACTGCATCTATACCTTAAGAGGACATCTACCCATCAAGACCAAAATTTATAAAATGGACTTAGCATACTGTAAAACATGTCGAAAAAGCGACATGCAATTTTAGCCAATTGTGGTAAAATGATGTAATAGCGAAATGTTGATTTAGCGAATCTCTCTTGTCATTGTTGATTTCCTGTTTTCGCAATACTTGTCTGTCGCGTGGCAAAACAAATGCGCAGTTATCACCTCCATAAAAACAAAGAAAAACTGTCAAGTGTAATTTGATTCCGTTCACAATCATATACAAAATAAAAAGCGGGTATCGTTGCTGAGTTACATCCAGAATATTGACCTTTTATATTAGGACTCAAAAATTACTAAGTACTACTAATTTCCGTAATAATATATCAGTATCACTCCATTTATTTATTTTCATTGAAATAATGACCAAAATGAATACGTTTATTTTTTTGTGTTAATTTACTTTTCAATAAAGTGTATCTATCATGTCAGTACGTTTTTTTGTGTGTTGTTTACAAAGTTGTGTGGAGAAAAAAGACGTTGTTTGGCGGCCATTTTGAATTTATAATAAAGTCATTAGCGACATCTTGAATTAGCGAATCAGTTCTCTCGCTAAAAAGACATGCTTGCGAAAAAGACATGTTTTTCAGTATATGAATTATATATTATGTTTACGACACAAAAGCAACTGCCTTTGATGGCCTCTATGAAGTTTGAACCCTGAAAATGCATAATTGATATTTGAAAACTTATCATCTAAGTGAGAGTGTCCACAAGGGGAATGTCTCTGATGTTATGAAGGGTTTGAAGCATTAAAAATCAACAGGCTTGACTTTGTGCATATTATTTCAAATGATTTAATCACTGAAATATCATAAAAACAAGACAAACACTGGAAACCAGGGTAAAAAGACGATAAATAGTAGCCGTAGCTGAAAAAAATAATAAAAATCCAAACTAAAAACTACTATTAAAAACACAGCACAATGTTTTGGATGGCAAAGCCTATCCTTCATCAGGTTTAGTCACTATACTTCCTATATTCTGATAGCATTTCTTCTTCGTAACTCTAAATTGTATATTTGACTTATTATAGATCTGGTGTGCATACCTTGCCTCATAATGCCAAGGCTCATTATAATTATGCTAATCTATTGAAAGATACAGACAGACATGTAGAAGCAATACAACACTACAGGAAGACTTTAGAGTAAGTTTGAGTATATTTTACCCATAGTTCATACTATACTTACATGTACCCATATGTAAAGTGGAATTTATTTTTTTTGAATGTCACTGTTGTCTCTCCTGACTTTTTTTTTTTTTAAATTGCAAGTGCTAGTGCTGACACAGTGCATTTTGCCACAGAAGTCATTTCCTGTTTTGGACTACATGTCAGGGCTGTGTGGCCATCTCTCTATCAAATGGCAATTTTAATGCGCTATCCAGGCACCAACCAGGCTCGGTCGAACACAAGCACCTGCAAACCTTAACCAAGGTTCCCCCAAAGTCGTATTCGTTAGTGAATGAATCTCGGCCAGTGGAATTGGCCTTCCCATTGAGTCTGTGGCACACTCACCCAGGGTAGAGGTTGACAGGGTAGAGGTTCAGCCTAAGGTAGGATTTGAACTTGGGTCTACCGATCATGAGCCTGATGTAACAACCACTATGCTACCAGTGACCGGCAAGTAAAGTGGAATTAACATGCTCAATCATAGATCTTTGAAAAGAAATCCAAGAACACAAAACCAGGGATCTGTCCATTTCAGTTGCTAGTGTCGTGCACTCAGGATTTCAGAAAGTTGTAGACGACACTTGTCTGTTTATGATAGAGTAAGGATGATCATTTTGTTGTCATCGTCAGTTTCCACAAACAATGACTCAATAATTACCCCGGTAACACCCAGTGCAGCGTCCTGTTCGATATGGGACTCATAGCGACGTATACAACGCGTGTAAAATACATTGTTTATTTACATGAAATTCGAACACGCGCTGTGCGACGACCATCGTGCTTTAACATATGAGGAGATTGCTATATGAAAATAATAAACAAAGTTGAAAACATGGCTCAAAAAATGGGAAGTCAACATGCCAGTAATCAACCACATGAAAAAAACTAACATGTTGGCCACCTCAAACTCTTGCAAATCTCAGGTAAACAAGACACACCTACTGTATTTGAATAGCACCTAGAGAAGTCACTGGAAAAACACCAAGATTAGAAAATCCAAATACACCCACAGCCACTAAGTAATAAACAAAAGACCACATGTTAGTCTCACCTTTGATTAAGGTAATGCACGCCCTCAAACAGGGCACACCTGAGAAAAAACAGTATTAAAAAAATGTCATTGGTTCTGGCAAAATCAACGCACACATGTAACATTGGCCTCATGTGTTATTATTTTAATCTCACTCACTCTGTCACGAGATTGTAATAAGTCAAGTTTACCATTGCAGTGGGAAAAAAAACTTGCTAATTTTGCCAACTGGGATGTGTCAAGCTGTCGTTCATTTGATCTATGCTTGCACTCAAGTGTAGTAATCTTTGTTAAGGTTTTTGTCCTCATGACTCATTCATAAATCCAGAACCTATGTTCAGTTCATCCAAAGAATAATTATTCCTCCCCATAAAAATGATCACCCCGGTAACCAGCATTCCATTACAAAAAACTCGTCAAGTTCTGAGTAACAAACAGATGACATGCTTTGAAAAACAATAGCTGGGCGAGCCAGAGGTCAATGTCTCAAAATTTTATTCCCCTAAAATTGTGTATCTATTTTTATAAAATCAGATCATTTCGCATTGAAATAAATAAAAGTTGAATGAATTGAATATCATGAATATTATTAAGAGATCGGCATTCAAGTCAGACTGGGCATAAATTAAATCCAATGACTGACAACAATGTCAAAACAATCCATCTTTAAACTACCATGTTTATTGTTCTCAGACTATACCCGAGCCATGCCAGTGCTCATAACAACCTAGGTACAATGTTAAAAGACGACAAGGAATGTGAATTTCATTTTACACAAGCTATAGCTATCAATCCGATGCATGTCAGAGCCCATTTCAACTTAGCTAATCAATTAGGGTAAGTAATGTTTTTAATTGTTTTCCCTGGCAGTGTAAATGCTAGGTCAGATTCTGTATGTTTTTTTAGCTATTCAGATATCTCTATACTTAACACCATCAGCTATTGGCTGTCAGTTTGATTGGTCGATTGGAAATGATGTCAACGTAAGCGGTATCAATTGTATGATTTGTAAATTATGCTAGCAAATGAATGACAAATGTTTTACCATCCTTTATTCCAGAAACCTGTCTAAACCGGAAACCTGTGAAAATCAAATTCTTTTGTAATCCAAGAACCTGTAAAAACCAAAAGGCTGTCTCAATATAAAAAATGCATAAACTGGGACTTTGTGTAATCCAGAAATCTACCTAAACTAAAAGTTTACAGTCCAATTCTAAATAAATGAATAAAATACTGTTGTCAACCACCAATATGTGCCACTAACTAAATAATTAACATTATTGGCAATAAAGCATGGGAACAAAAATTCACGATATTAGTATTTTTATGAAGGGTTTTAGTACTAGTATGTTGGGTATAGTATCTGGGCTGATATCTGTTAAATAACCTGGTGGGAAACATTCACAGGATTACTTGTTTATTAAAGGGCGGCAGTCGTAGTGCCGTGTTCGGTCCTGTTCGATATGGGATTCATAGCGACGTATACAACGCATGTAAAATACATTGTTTATTTACATGAAATTCGAACATGCTCTGCGCGACAACCACAGTGCTTTAATATAACTGTTTATGCCATAGTACTTATAAAGTTTTTTTTCTTCAAATTCAGTAAAATACCTGATCGACAAGATGAGGCGATACGTCTCTTACTACGCGCTATCGAAATCAAGGATGACTATGCTGAAGCGTACACTAGTCTGGCGGGTATATTAATGGATAGAGGGCAGTATGATGATGCCGAGAAACTTTACAAGAAGGTTATTGAACTAACGCCCAATGATGGGAATGTTTATAACAACTATGGTGCCTTATTAGTCAAAAGAGGTAATTACAAGTCAAAAGTCATCATGTTATTTTTGCAATGAACTTTACCTTGCTTTCATCAATGATGGAAAGCTAAGGTATATTAATTAAGAGAAAAATTTCTGACCTGTGTTGTCATTGGTAATAATTGTTATTGTGTGCACAATAACTTTACTAATTCTATTCCAAACTTTATCAAACTTGGTCACCTTATTCATCAATATAAATTCTTCTCTTAGTATGAACGACAGAAAATGGAATATCATGCAAAAATTGAGAAAATCTGATAAAATACTTTGACTGTTTCTATTTGACTAATCCCTGGTGATACACATTCAAAAGTCACTTATCTCAGTGGGAATATGCATTGTTGTATGTTATTAGTGTTTGGAATACACTGTAAATTCATGGTAGCAAAGTAGTATCACAACCCTGTCATGTAGACCTGTATGTAGAGTTTGGGAAGTTTAGATTTACCTTTACTCTAACAACACACAATCCGATTCCAGATTTGAGAGAAGAAGCCTTAGCGGAGTATCACAGGTGCCTTTCAGTAAATCCCAATCACACAGTTGCCATGGTGAATATTGCAAGGCTGCAGCGAAAAATGGGAAATACTAGAGATGCTGAACTTATGTTTAAAAGGTTTGTACTCATGTAATGCACCGTCAGTCGTATTGTTGTTGTGTTTCACTTGATTATCAAGACATTCATTATTCATATTTTAGTTTTACAAAAACCTGTGTATCTTTTTTTCCACCTTAAAATCTGAACTTTGAATGAACTATATTCAAACATTTCCACTGTGATTGGCGCTTGAAATAATTTACTAAATTTAAAATAGTTTTGTTCACATTGTTAGTCCCCGTTCGGATGTTGTCCGAAAATGGGGACTTATGTTTTGCCCTGTGTGCGTGCGTGCGTGCATCCGTGCGTGCATCCGTGATCACCTGTATCTCGAACATGCATGGACCGATTAAGTTCAAACTTCTCTCATACATCACACATTATATGGGACATATGCACATGCATTTTTTTCATGATCCGATTAACGATAGCCGAATAGCGGCCATTTTAAGGCCGAAAATGCATCAAAATCACACATTTTCACCATTCCGGACCCGGATCTCAGTTATGCATGGACGGATTTCGTTCAAATTTGGTACATACATTAAACATAATAGAACCTTGATGCACGTCATTTTTTTTTTCGGATCAAGTTTGAAATGGCCGACTGGTGGTCATTTTGTTTTAAAGAATTCAGTTCTGGATCCGTATCCGAGACATGTCTGGATTGATCAAGTTCAAACTTCTCACACACAAGGTACATCATGTCACAAATATGTATGTGCATTTGTTTCATGATCTCATTAATGATAGCCAAATGGCGGCCGCTTTAAGGCCGAAAATGCATTGAAATCGCACATTTTCACCATTCCGTACCCGGATCTCAGTTATGCATAGACGGATTTCGTTCAAATTTGGTACATACATTAAACATAATAGGACCTTGATGCACGTCATTTTTTTTTTTCGGATCAAGTTCGAAATGGTCGACTTGCGGCCATTGTTTTAAAGAATTCAGTTCTGGATCTGTATCCGAGACATGTCTGGATTGATCAAGTTCAAACTTCACACACACAAGGTACATCATGTCAGAAATATGTATGTGCATTTGTTTCATGATCTCATTAACGATAGCCAAATGGAGCGCTTTAAGGCTGAAAATGCATTGAAATCCCACATTTTCACCATTCCGGACCCGGATCTCAGTTATGCATGGACGGATTTTGTTCAAATTTGGTACATACATTAAACATACCCCCGGTAATAGGACCTTGATGCACGTCATTTTTTTTTTTTCGGATCAAGTTCGAAATGGCCGACTGGCGGCCATTTTGTTTTAAAGAATTCACCTCTGGATCCGTATCCGAGACATGTCTGGATTGATCAAGTTCAAACTTCACACACATGGTACATCCAGTCACAAATAGATATGTGCATTTGTTTCATGATCTGCTTAACAATAGCTGAATGATGGCCATTTTAAGGCCGAAAATGCATCAAAATCACGTATTTTCACAATTCCGAAACCAGATCTCACTCATGCATGGATGGATTTTGTTCAGATTTTAATAGTACAATGTGTTGTACATATGCAGGTGCATTTAGGTCATGATCTGCTTTGAATGTATGTCACTCAAATATGAACGGAATGGGGACGTGTCATTGACAATGACTTGTTATTCTGCTTATTCTTTTGCAGAGCATTAGCAGTGAAGCGTGAAGCTGACACATTAAAGAGCTTAGGGGCCTTGTATTTCAATACTGATAGAATATCAGAAGCTAAAGTGTATTTTGAGGAAGCTTTAGGGCTGGATCCGGAATCAGCAGAGATCAGAACCCATTATGTGAGTTTGTGGTGGATAAGTTTATATCGCAAAACTAGGCGTTGGGGTGTTCTTTTCGTCACATAAAACGAACTGACTAATCATGCGGAATTGTTATTGAAACGGACATCGATTGCGTTGTGTTTT